CCATAATTAAAAATCAAACAACCTAGGTCAGCAAGAATAATAAGATAAAGAACTTACTGGTTTCTAGCCCAAAGAACCCGAAATTCAAGATCTGGGGCTGCTTTTTTGGTTTTCTTCAAGATCACCTTCTTGCTTCTTGCTCTTCTGTAATCATTTGTTTCTTTTCTCGATTTCATTATGAACTCCCCTTTGATTCTCCTAAATTTTTTGTCGTGACTTTGTAGATAATGTCAGGGTTAGAGTTTGGGCGAAAAAGGGAAAAATTGAATTGGGTGAAGTGAGCCGTCCTTGGTCTCTTCTTTTCTTTATAAAATTGAATTGGGAAAACCAAATCTAAAAGAAGGAAAATAAAAAGCACTAAGACTAAGAAGATTCAGAATCCATGCCAACAGAGATAACTGTTATAACTACTCACAGAAAGAATCAACCAAAATAGCAACAGATCAAGAACAAGAATCACACCAAACACACACAAGAACAACCATATTTACTGTGGTTCACTTGCTCTATATTGGAGCAAGCTACGTCCACGTTGAACTCGAGAATCACACGAGCTCGTTGCACTAATACTGTCAAGATTACAGTTTACACACACAGCAACACAAATCCCTCAAAAACCCCCTTCTTCAACCCGTAACTCACCCTAGAGATTACACCCTTCGAATCCCTAAATACAGCATATACAATACACCCAGAATGACCTGACCCATTCACTCAATCAACAAGTTATAGGATCCACTCAACCCAAATTGAAAACCCTAATGGCTCAAAGATGGTGTTTAACGAAGAAGAGAGAGACTTATATAAAATGAAAAATGAATCGAATGCATAAACTGCCAAAATAATTTTGCTTTTATATGGTTGACATTAGGGTTGAATTTCAGCCGTTGGATCTTCTTTTCATCAATGCTCAGGATTGTTTCTGTCGTTTAGATCAAAGCGACGTCGTTCCATTTAAGTGCAAATACGACAGCGTTTCAAGCCATCATCCAATAGTCTCCACCTTGATGGGTTGAAAAACAGCCCCTGTGCTAGTGCAGCTTGCCTTTAGTTAGTCCTTCATTGTTCTCTTGTTACTGTTGCTTACTGAATGGACAGTAGGTTCAAGCAATGCTTGAACTTCGCAATTGTAACAATCTTCGTACCCATGTCTGCTGGATTGTGCTCAGTAGGAACCTTATTGAGTATTATCTCCCCCTTAGTGATCAGATCTCTCACAAAGTGATAGTGAACATCTATGTGTTTGGTTCGCTCATGGTACACTGGATTCTTACTCAAATGTATTGCACTTTGACTGTCTAAAAAAATGGTTGGTCTTAGTTCAATCAGTTTTGCTTCACTCAGGATCCCTTTGAGCCATATTGCCTCTTTAAATACATCAGCTACAGCCACATATTCAGCCTCGGTTGTTGATAATGCAACTATAGGCTGTAATTGGGACTTCCAACTGATGCAGTTGCCCCCCAAGGTAAAGTAATATGCAGTGGTTGACTTTCTAGTGTCCCTGTCACCTGCAAAATCAGAGTCTACAAAACCATCCAGCTCAAGTGAGGCAGATCTTTTATAGTATTCCAGTCCCACATTTAAAGACCCACTAACATATTTGAGTACCCACTTCAGGGCTGTCCAATGTTCCATACCAGAATTGGACATGAATCTACTCAGCAATGATATCACAAATGATAGGTCAGGCCTAGTGCTAATCATAGCATACATCAAGGATCTAATCACATTAGCATAGGGAATGGTCTCCATTCTAATTGACTCAGCATCAATATTAGGGCATTGGGCCTTGCTAAATGTGAAGTGGTTTGCTAAAGGCATTGAGACAGTTTTGGACCTTGACATTCCAAATTTTTCTACTAACTTATGCAGATATGAACACTGGTGAATTTTTAGTTTGCATTTACTCATGTTTCTATCAATTTGCATGCCTAAAATCTTTCTAGCATCCCCTAGGTCTTTCATTTCAAATTCTGCATTCAGTTTCTTCTTTAACTCACAAATCAGAGGCTTTGATTTACTTATTAGTAACATATCATCTACATACAACAGTAAGTAAATAGGTATTTCATCTAAAACAGCAAAGTAGAAACAACTGTCATATTTACTCCTAGTGAATCCTATACTTACTATAAAGGTGTCAAACCTCTTATACCATTGTCTAGGGGATTGCTTTAGACCCATAGAAAGGATTTCAAAAGTAGGTAGGCATGATAGGGGCCCTTTATCTATGAAACCTAAGGGTTGGCTCATGTAGATCTTTCCTCAAGATCTCCATGAAGGAATGCAGTTGTGACATCTAATTGTTCAAGCTCTAGATCCTGGTGAGCTACTATGGACAACATAAGCCTTATGGTTTTTACTTAACTACTGGGGAAAAGACTTCTTGAAGTCAATTCCCTCTTTTGGGTGAAACCTTGCTAAGTTAGCCTTATACTGAGGGGATCCTTATCAGTGATACCTTCTTTAGTTTGAACAGCCACTTGCATTGTACAAGTTTCTGATCCTTAGGCTTTGGTACAAGCTTCCAGGTTCTGTTCACTCCAAGGATTTCATTTCAGCTCCATTGCAGCCTTCCATTGGTCACTTTCTTTGTCTGCAGGCTTCCTCATAGGTTTTTGGTCTTTCTTTGATATCAGTACCTGCAAGGAGGGCAGTGTATATTAGGTTAGCATAGGAATAATCTCATAGGTGCCCTTACCTGTCTTCTAGTTCTGTCTCTTGCAAGCTGGTAGTCTTGCAAGTGTTCAGGTTGGATCTCAGTGTTATCTACTGTTTCTATTCATCCTTATGTTCTGGATCAGTTTGTCCAGTTTCGTCTCCATGTTCAATAACAGCTCTAGTTTTGGCTGGTTTGAGTTTGGGCAGGAAGCTCCACCTCAATTGGTGTAACTTTAGGTTGGGTGAAGGGATCATTGTTTTGACCTGGGGCAGTTTTGGTTCTAGTTTCCTTACTAGGAAAAACTCCCTCATTGAATATGACATCTCTGCTACACATGATTTTAACCCTGAAGTATCTCTATCCCAGAGTCTATAGCCTTTGGTCCCTTCTTGATACCCAGGAATATGCACTTGGTTGACCTTGGTTCCAATTTGATCCTGTGGTGTGTGCATAAGCTGCACACCCAAAAAACTCTCAAGTGGCTTAAAGTTGGGAGTCTACTGTCCATATTTCCTCAGGGCTCTTTAAGTTTATTGCAGTAGATGAGCTTTATTTACCAGGTAAGCAGCTGTTGTAAGAGCTTCTCCCCAAAATGAGGTGGGGGAGTTTGGAGGTTATTAACAGGCACCTAACCTTATCAAGAGGGTTCTATTCATTCATCTGCACTCCATTCTGTTGTGGGTATAGGTTATGTCCTATGTCTTAAAACCTCTGGTCACAACAAAACTTATCAAATTCTTGATTACAGAATTCTAGGCCATGTTGTTCTAAGAACCTTCACCCTTTTTCCCATTTGTCTCTACTAAGGTTTTCCAATCCTTAAACCTAGATGGGCCTGATCTTTGGTTTTCAATAAGTATACCCACACCTTGCGGCTGTAGTCATCCACAGAGACATGAAGTAATTTTCTTCCATAAGACTTTACTTTCCATGTCCCCAAAGGTCAGAGTGAATGTATTTAGTGGATTAGTGGCTAGTGTGCCCTTTGGTGAAACTATTTCTATGCTATTTCCCTAAAAACAAATTCTCAGAATTCGAGGGATGTGGTCTTGTCCTTACCAACTGCCCTTTTATTCTTAGAATGTCCATGCGTCTTTGACTCATGTGGCCTAATCTAAGATGCCACTTTCTGTATTGGACAAGTTAGTAGAAGTAATCACAGAGTTAAAACAGTTTTGGGAATGATTCCCACAAAGATATAAAGGCCATTTCTTTTCTCTCCTGTCAGTATCAAGTTGTTATCCCTATATATGTTCAAGCATCCAGTGTCTGCTTTGTAACAACATCCTGATCATCTAAGGTGCCAAGGGATATCAAGTTTCTTTTAAGTTCGGTATGTATCTGACCCTAGTTAGTTTTTACCACTTTTCCAGTGTTAACCTTAGAGTCACAGTGCCTACCCTTTTACTCTGCAAGTATTATTATTCCCTGTAAACAATTTCATTTTCAACATTTTCAAAATCCTAGAAACAGTCTCTCCTAAGACTCATGTGAAATGAACAGCCTGAGTCCAGCACCCACTCTTCACCAGTGTCATTCATGACACAGTAAGGACTTCAGGCTTCTCTACCGGTTTCTAGTAGTAGCTAGGTTATTCTCAGTATTCCCTTGTTTTGCTTTTTAATCCACTCAAAAGTTCTTTAATATGCCAGTTTATACAAAAGAAACATTTTCTGGACTCTCTCTATGCTGTTATGCCCTTCCATTTTTTCTATTTCTAGCCCCCTGATTATTTGATTCCTTGCCAGTGTGACAGGTTCTGTCTACTCTTAACAAACAGATTTGTGCCATTCCGTTTCTGAGTTTTCAAATCTAATTCTCTAGCCCTAAGTCCTGCTATTATAGGTCAAGATTGGTACAGTACCTGAGTATATAAGGCATTCTTTATTACTTGGTAATTCAATAGAATCATAGCTAGGTGGTTTTTCCTAAGGCTTATCTGTGTCCTTTTAGGACCAAGGTCATTTTTAGAAACCATCTAAGTTTTCATTATACTTTAGCACTATCCATTTTATAAGAGAATAAAAACCCCTTTAGAAAGCTAGGTTGGGGGCAGATTGCAAAGCATACAAGGTAGTGAGTACCCCAGAGTTAATCGGTGATTCAATTCCATCTACCTTCCAAAGGATGTTAGACAGATTTGATTAAGATTGTATGCCTCCTCATTGATCTCTCTTTCTTTTTCAACTTCTCCTCTAGCCATTTTTTGGAGTCCTTTTCCAGTGCGATGGCAACCTTGTTGTGAGAAAGCAATGCTTTATTTTTTCTTCCAACTCCCAAAACGATCTTCCCATCATATGGGAGATTCCATACAAGTGGTACTCATTACAATATAATGAAAAATAAAGAAAACAACAAAGAATCTAAGAAGGTACGTTGCTTTGTTACACCAGAATTTGCCAATTACTGCCAGGCAGTTGTTAAGGCGGTTACTGGTTTCCAACATATACCTCTTAGAACTTAGCACTTACGAAGGTACGGCGTTGTACACCAGAGTTTGCCAATTACTGCCAAGTAGTTTTTAAGGCGGTTACTGGTTTCTAGCCATATACCTTTGAACTTAACCAAAATTTGACTCCTAGATCTATTGGAGACTAGAGGAACACAGTTTCGAAAAAAAAGCTCCAATTTCCAAAAACCCTAATTTTCAAACCTAATTTCAAAACCCTAATTCCAAGAAATGGCTCTGATACCACTGTATAAATACTCACAAAAAGAATCAACCAAAATAGAAACAGATCAAGAACAAGAATCACACCAAACACACACAAGAACAACCAGATTTACCGTGGTTCACTGCTCTATATTTGAGCAAGCTAGTCCACGTTGAACTCGAGAATCACACGAGCTCGCTGTACTAATACTGTCAAGATTACAGTTTAACACACACAGCAACACAAATCCCTCAAAAACCCCCTTCTTCAACCCGAACTCACCCTAAAAGATACCTTCGAATCCCTAAATGCAGCGTATACAATACACTAGAATGACTTGACCCAGTCACCAATCAACAGTACAGGATCCATCAACCCAAATTGAAAACCCTAAAGGCTCAAAGATGGTGTTTAATGAAGAAGAGAGAGACTTGTATAAAATGAAAAATGAATCGAATGCATAAACTGCCAAAATAATTCTGCTTTTATATGGTTGACATTAGGATTGAATTTCAGCCGTTGGATCTTCTTTTCATCAACGCTCAGGATTGTTTCTGTCGTTTAGATCAAAGCGACGTCGTTCCATTTAAGTGCAAATACGACAGCGTTTCAAGCCATCATCCAACAATAACCATGTCGCTTGTGAGAGAAGTTTGGAAATAGAAAATTGTTTTGGGGTTTGTTTATTTTATAAAGAAGAGAGAAAAACAAAAAGAAAGGGAAAGCTAAAAGGAGCCGTAGTCTACTACTTTATATACGCTAGCACCAAAGCAAGGAACTAAGGCAAGGTGCCAAGGTGAAGGCTAAGCTTAGTCGGATGGAGAGAGTGGCTTATCCATCTTTTCATCTTTAGACAAGTCTAGTAGGGAGGGAATATTTCCTTACTTCTTTCTCCTAGTGAGTTTAGCGCTAATACTTAAACAGCCTAAAAACGCAATCGTTCCCTCACACTTTAGCTATGATTTTGTATTTATAGATAAGAGTAATACTAATCTTACAAAGAGGTATATAAAGAGTCATATAAAGAGAGAAATCCAGCCCTTGAAATTCATGACTCTCTCTCTCTCTCTCTCTCTCTCTCTCTCTCTCTCCCTTTTTCCAAGGGCTGGATTTGTCTCTTTGTATGGCTCTTTATATGCCTATTTATAAGGCTAGTATTACTCTATAGATAAATATATCAAACAAAATAAATATATACTCTTAGTAAGCAAAGAAAAATAAATGAGCAGGTTTGCCCGAGAGTTTAAGGGGAACATTTGAGAGAAGAGTGCATGGGTTGGAATCCCACTGTCTATTTTTTTTTTTTTTTCAAATGGGTTTTTAAAACCTTTGGTCTTTTTATTTATTTATTTATTTATTTATTTATTTCATTAATATTTAGCAGCTCCACCAATTATCTTTGCACACACTTTACTCTTAATTTGGAAAAAGAAAAAAAAAAACCCCATTTTAGCGTATTAGAATATATCATAATCCAATAAAAATACAATTCTAATGCTTTAATATCATAATTCTATAATGAATAATATTTTTAGGAGGTGTTTGTTTGAGCTTATGAAAATTAACTTATAAGCAATTGAAATTTTAAGCAATTACGTGTTTGGTTAAAGTACTTATAAGTGACTGATAAATAGTTGACGTGTTTAGTAAAATGTGGCTTATAAGTATATTTTATTATAAAAAGACTAAAAAGTGTACTACATTAAAAAAGAGTATACTATAAAATTTTAAAATTAAACAAGGATAATGTAGTAATACTTGGTCAAACTACTTATAAGAAGATGTTCTAAAAAAAAAAAAAAAGTACTTCCCCTCAACTTTTTTTTTTTTTTTTTTTGGCTTATAAGCTCAAAAAAGTATAAACACAGTAGTAATTTTAAAGCTTAAAGCTAGTTTGACCAGCTTATAAGCTTAGACAAAGCAATTACTACCAACTTCTAATAATACTCTAGATAATAAACTTGATAAATTAATTAATATCAGAAAAGACCCTACAATCAATATTTGCTTAATGAATAACATAATCTTTAGACCTACAGGCGGTTGTCTCTCCTCTTTGGAATACTTACATTCTTTTGGATTGTACATACTAAAATATACATAGTATATGATCATAGAAAATTAGAAAAAAATTGGGGTATATTATGCAATTCAAGCTACCCTTGAGGTGGAGTTTGATGTGGTTTAGTTAATACTCTATTAATTTAATGTGTCATTTCTAATCTATTGCCGCAAGAACTTCGATTGAGAATTGATTCAAACTTCTAATTTTAGGGTGAGTGAGAATATATATGCTGTAAATGATGAATAGTATTAGGTTGAAATTATATAAAAAAATCAATTACAATATTATAGTTATGACAAATAAATATATTTTATATATTAAAGATAGACATTTTATATTTTTTTATAAGCATAAGTAATTTATTAATAATAGATATAAAAACCTGAAAAAAAGCTTAATTGAAAGTTTGGGTCGTTAAATCAATTAAATACATAAGCAATATAAACTAAGTGAAAAAAAAAAAAAAATCTATATTACCAAACTTGAAAAGAGAGTATACAATCGTAACAAAATAAAAATTGTTATATATGCATTGAATTTTGTTCTTGCCAACACTAAGTAATATTAAAAAATGAATAACAAGCTCATCTAGTTTATTAATTAATATTACTTTTCAAATAATCATGAGTTTGGGTAATCAATGAACAATTTATATTTACAAGAGAATTATATTTTTTATTTGAGGAGGCCATGTAAAATTTATAAAAAATTATGAAGGGCTAAACAATATAATTTGTGTGAATGTGGTGTTACTTCTCTTAGCCTGACGGATTGTGTTACAGCGACCTATTTAAGGGTCCCGTCCCCGATGAGGGTGGTGGTCCCACTCACGGTGAGCAGGTAAGGGTGAGAGGGTGGTCTTCCTTCACAATAAGCCCAATTTGATTAGGGGTTAGACCTGGGTTGGTTGATTGTGGTAACTCAAGTAATTGTTTTTAAATGAAATTGGTTGGAGGGAAAAATTTTGGAGGCAAGTTAGGAGGCAGTAATTTATTTTTTAATTTCCTCCTAAAGTATAAAATTAAAACTCTAAACTATTTTCAAGTATCTTTCCTATTTTAAATATCTTTCATACTTTAAGTCAAATATATTACAAAAATTCTAAACTATTTTAAGTATCTTTCCTATTTTAAATATCTTTCCTGCTTCAACTTAGTTATATATTTACAATTAAAAATCGAATTCTATTTTAAGTGATTTCCTATTTTAAATATATTCTATTAAAGTCAAGTATATATTACGAAATGAATAACCTAATTACTTTTATTCTGTTTCCTTTTCCCAATCCTTCATCTTCTTTCCATATTTTTTCAACATTGTTATCATTTTCTTTGTTATACGACAATCATGGCATTAAGTCGAGCTCAAAAAGATTATCTCCAAGAACCAAATACCAAGTCTCTCTTTTTCTATCATCCCATTTGATCAACCAAATACCAAGTCTCCTCGTCACTTTTTTCATTTAGAAAAACTATATATCTTCTCTTATACTTCACAAATTTTCTCATCATAATAATAGAGGAAAATTCCATCAGTATTGGAGACTGGTATTGGTTTGATCTATGAGTGCAGTACTAGGTATTTTGTCTTGTCACTTCTAACTTATTACCGGTGTCAGCTTTTTTCTAAATCTTAATGATGGAAACAGGATTAACCAGACTTGAGAATTTGTGATGTGCTCCGAAGATGTAATACTGATGGATTTTTTTTTTTTTTTTCTCTCAGAATAGATAAATATTACATAAGTGTATTGTTTATTGATAAATCATTTTTTTTTTTTTTTTTTTTTTTTTTTTTTGCATAGATCTCTGGAAAGGATTAATTTTCATAATAATATGCAACCCTCTTATGGAGCGGAAGATCCTTCAATTGCTGGAATGGTGTTGGATGTGCCTTTTTCTGACCTATTTAATCTAATGATGGAACTTGTAGACGTATACAAAATCCGGCTTCCTAAATTCACTGTACGCATCTCTTTCACTTTTTTCTCTTGTGCCATCAGTTTTCTCATGTTGGTAAGATGATTTTGTGGTGTGATTGTTTGTGCCTTATATTCAGTTAGACATGTCAACTATTTTTAAGGTTGCAGAATAATCAATATATTAAAAGCTTTGCATCTTTATTCCATCAGAATAATCAATATTTGTCACATTTTTCAATCGTTCATTAGTCTTGGAGAGCGGGGAAAATTCATCAGGGTATTTCAACGCCATGTTTAACTTGGAGAGCGGTTCATGGGTGACTGATGCAGCCACACAAAGTATTGGAGACTTGATGGATATTTTATCACACTCTTAAATTTTCATATGATCGCCATCCTCTGTTCTCTCTGATGAAATTCGTATGCAGTTCTTCCCTTCGGGGATCTCTTTGCCCTATCAAGGTAATGTAAGTTCATAATTTGCACAATATTTTTTTATTATCAGAAAGTATATTTAGTTTTGATATTTTTAATAAAATACTATCTCTAGAGTTAGTTTTTTTTTTTAAATTAAATTAAAAAATACATATATAGGTCTACAATAAAGAAGATTATATATTTTTGTATATTTAATAAGAAAAAAGGTTTCTATACGCAACATTTATAACACTTTACAAAATAAAAACACCAAGGAGAGTGACGTTTTCTAGCTTTCTTCTTTATTTACCTTTTAATATAATGAAGTAATAAAGAAAATTATGTTTTAATTAAAAGCCTCTCTAGTAATCAATGTAATATTAGGTTAGTTATTCTCTTCTCTTCTCTCTCTCTCTCTTCTTCTCTCTCTCTCTCTCTCTATATATATATATATATATATATTCTTATGACATTTTTTTTTTTTTTTTTTTGCAAAATGAAAAAATGATCATGAAGAGACCATCAACACATGGTGCTTTCAATTTTATCAATAAAATAGCCGTAGTAGACTATCTTTAGTTTTATTGTGTTAACGCTTATTAAAATTATAATGTTGTGACTTTATATATTTTAATAAATTTTTCCTTGATATATTTCATCTTAAGTTAAAAGTAATATATGGATTCAAGTTAATAATGATAATAGCTGTACGTTCCATTGTGGGAAAAAAATGGTAATTATTTATAATTTTATTTATTAAATGTAAAATATATATATCAATTTGATTGTCAGGTCAAATTGATATAAAATAACTTTTGTTACTCTTTTAAATTGTTGACAAGATATTTTTGTCACTTTTAATATTAACAAAAAAAATTATATAAGGTCTCAAAATTTAATGACTTAAATTTTTGTCACTACACTTTTCATATTTTTGACAAAAATATTTTTGTCGCTATTACTAAATAAAAATCCAATTGATGGTCATAACTTACTCAATAAAAATCCAATTGCTGAGAGGTTTGAATCTTTAGAAACTAGACAGACAAGACTTTAATTTGATATATTATATGCTTAATTTGGATGATTGTAGCCTCACTATCAAGTCATTCCTTTTATTATCACACACATTTTGATTTCTCTTGTTTTTCGATTTCCATTGAACAGTCAATAGTAAATTAGCTGTAACTTGCTCAATAAAAATCCAATTGTTGTAAATCAGACCCAAAACATACTGAATCATGCAGTAGTCCAGATTGTGCATTCAACCATAACAAGCATAAAAAGAGAAAAACAATTACAGTAAAGAAAGATAAGAAGAGAAACACCAAATTTATAGTGGTTCGGTAATCTGAAAGATTACCTACATCCACTCTTCAAGGGCAACCAGAAAAGAACTTTACTATGAGTTTGAGAAACCTTACAGAAGAATCGGCTCACCCCTTTTACACCTTAGGCATCAACCCGATACAAACCCTCTGATTACACACCCGTATACCCAGATGCTCTCACCACTCATACATACCAAAGAGGCAGAAAATCAGTACAAATTTATACAAAGAAAAGGCTATAACAGAAAGGACAGCTCACACCTACCATCACCGTTGATTCCATGGACGGATCTTGGATTTCCAGCACAGCACCTCTAACTGTTTCTCTCTCTGTTAACCAAAAGAGAAAAAGAGAGAAATGAGCTGCGCACAAAACCTAATTCGATTTAGGTTCTGGAACGAAGGGAAAAGACAGAACTGCCCCTCTTGTATTAACAAATTACTTTGACCAGCCAACTCCAAAATTTGACTCCTACGTGTCATCAGAATGCCACATCGCTACACCAATTGATGAGCGGTTTGAATCTTTGGAAACTAGAAAGATAGGGCTTTAATTTGATATATTATATGATGAATTAGGATAACTATTGACCTACTACCCAACCATTCATTTTATCATTACACACATAAAACAAATTCAATTTTAGTGATGACAAAGGAAAACAAATATATATTGATATATAGTTTTAATTGTATTTGTTCTATATCTTTTTATTGATTTTGTTGTTTAACTTATGGGTTTCGTGGGTTTTATAATTATCGTCTTTCTTTAGGATGCTATCATCAAATGCTTTTTTTGCTATAGGTGGTGGTCAATTCTAATTACAGCAAATAGATTTGTGTCACAAAACCTTTATCTTTATGGCTTCTTCAATGCTTCAATTAAGTTGCCTTCAGATTATACTGTTGGAGTTATTGTTGCTTTCTATGTGGTTTCTCTTCTCAACATTCTTAATTTTTTTTAATTTGTAAAATAATAATAATAAAATAATTCATTTTCTCTTCTCAACAATCAAAATTAGTTTTTCCTTTGGCTCTGCAAGTCTCTTGCTTAAAAGTTTACATTTTTCAACTTCTCTTTCTCTGATTGATTTGTAGACTTATTAATAATACCCGATGGGTTATCCTGCAAATTTTTTGCTTTTCTTGACAAAGTTTTAACCTTTGGTTGCAGATTTCAAATGTAACATATTTTAGAAGAACTATGATGATATAGACTTTGAGTTCAATTTGTGGATATTTTATTTATTGATTTTTTGAATTATCAATTCAATATAAAATGAACTTCAATATAGAAAATGTATATTTAAAAGACAAAAAAACCAATAATAATTTAAAAATATATATATAATAAACATACCTGCGCAATGCAACTTGAAAATGAATATAAGTTACAGAAATTGCGGAAGGTCAGTATAAATTTTAAGTATAAGGGGTTTTAAGGATTAAAGGGTAATTTGAAAATCGGTTTGCAAACCGGTTAACCGAAAACCGAACCAAATTTTTGGTTCGGTTTACATTCGGTTTTTAACCAAACCGGACCGGTTTTTTTATTTGGATTCGATTTTCGGTTTGGATAAACCAGTTCGGTTAACCAGTTTATCCCACCTCTAATACGATTCACGACAAAATACTGACATCGTCTATCAAAAACATGTCTGTAAAAATAATATCAATTGTACAAGATGATGACCTAAAAATATAATTAGACCATATAATATTTAGGTGATCTTCTCAAGTTGGATAAATGATTTAATGACATCTACCTATAATTAATATTAATAATTATACAGATAAAATTATTAATTTTATTTTAACAAAACTTTGTATATATACAAAATTTATATTTATTTGAAAATTTATATAATTTAACAATTATTATGTCTTAATCTAATTAGTTTATTTTGTTAGAATAAATTTGTTTACATCCTATTTCAAAAATATTGGATAACCATCTAGCGGCCCATGTCTAGTTATAATTTAATAGTTAATGAATATATTAATTTTCAATATATAAAAATTTTATATATATATATATATATATATATCGACTCCTCGCCTTCACAATTCACAAATTCAGTCAAAAATGTTTCTTCAAAATTCGCTTTAAAACAACATTATGATCAACTCCTTTTGCTGTACTCGAGGTTCGTTTCAGCTGGGCTATTTTCTGATTTTATTATTTTGGACATTGTCATTAATATCTTATGCAAAAGAGGTAGGCTTTATGATGGTTTTGTTGTTTTGGGGAGTATTTTTAGGAGGGGTTTTTACCCAAATGCTGTGACTTTTAATTGTCTCATTAATGGTATTTGTATGGAGGGTAAGATTAAGAAAGCTGTTGAATTGCTTAGGAAAATGGGTTCTTTTGGTTGTACGCCTGACGTAATTACTTTTGGGACTTTGATTACTGGGTTGTGTTGAACAGGAAAAATCACTGATGCCCTTCAGTTATTTGAAGAAATGGTTAACGGGGATGGTGAATTTGGTGTCATTTGTAAGCCTGCTATTGTTACTTACAATAGAATTATTGATGGTCTTTGCAAATATGGGTTAATAGACAAGGCAAAAATTTTTTTTTCAGAAATGAAGATTAGGGGCATTAACCCAGACGTGGTTACTTACAGCTCTCTAATTTATGGTTTGTGTAATACATCTAATGTGGAGGAGGCGAAAACTTTGTTTATAGAAATGTTGGATGAAGGTGCACACCCTAATGTAGTGACATACAATGTGGTAATGGATAAAATTTGTAAGAATGGAAAGATGGACGAAGCCAATGGATTGCTCCAACTGATGATTAATAGAGGTGTTCACCCCAGCACAATTACTTATAACACAATTTTGAATGGTTATTGCTTGGAAGGTAGAATTGACGATGCAAGAAAGCTATTTGATTCTATGGCAAGTAAGGGGTGTAAGCCTGATGTTCCTAGCTACAATATTTTGATGGACGGTTTTTGCTTGACAAATGAAATTGATGATGCTAAAGAGTTGTTTGCTTCGATGTTTAAGGAGGGATGCACGCCTAATGTAGTTAGCTACAATACTCTGATCAATTGGTATTGCAAGAATAAAAAAGTTGATGAAGTTATGAGTCTTTGTAAGGAAATGACTTCAAAGGCAGTTAGGCCAACAGTTGTTACTTATAGCACCTTGCTGACTGGCCTTTTTATGATTGGTAATGTCGGACATGCAAGGAAACTATTTGATGAGATGCAACGCAATAATGTTCATCCCGATTTAATTACGTATAATATTCTCATTGATGGATTTTGCAAAAATGGTTGTGTTTTGGAGGCTGTTGAACTGTTTCATACTTTAAAAAATGGAAACATTCAACCTAACATCACAACTTTCAACTGTCTCATTGATGGCTTGCGTAAAACAGGGAGACTCAAAATTGCTTGGGAACTGTTTCACAGATTGCGAAATAAAGGCTTTGTTCCAGATGTTGTGACATATAACATTCTGATGGATGGGCTTTGTAAAGAAGGGAACATAGAAATGGCAAGTAATTTGTTATCAGATATGGAGCAAAACGGTTGTGCTCCAAATGTAGTCAGTTTTTATACGCTTATGTGTGGTTTCTTGCAGAATAATGAGACTTCAAAAGTGGCTGAAATTCTTCACAAAATGCATGAGAGAAATCTGAAGCCGGATGCAGCCATAGCTTCAATAATTGTAGATCAACTGGTAAAGGATGAAACTTATCGCGAGTTCTTAAAGTTGCTTCCGTCATTCTCTGCCCAAGAGCCAGAGGGACATTGATTGTCGAGTAAATGTATTTCCAAGGGAGTACAACTTATGACGAGAACCTTGTCAGATGTCAAAGTTTCCATGTAAAGGTGTGTGCCATCATCATAGTGGTAATTGTATTTATATGAATCCTTTAATGAAGAAGTCAAATACGTGAAGTTATTTTGGAGATAAGTCTTACTAAAAACCTGATGGGGTAAATTAAGTCGTGTTGTTTTATTGACTGCAATCCACATTTCAATCCTCTTAATCAAAATACCAGTATGCTAGTCTGTTGATGTTGGTGGAAGTCTCTTTTATTTATTTTTATAATATCAGAATTCTTGAAGCTTTTAGGAACTTGTTCTGTTGAGTGTATGTAGTTTTTATTGTTGGATTAACTTGTTTCACAGTAGCCGTGAACACCAAAGTAGTGTATTAACTTCTGAATATGTTTAATTCTGATATGATATAAGGTTAGGAGTAATGAAACTCTGTTTCATCTTCATCTTTAGCGTAAATTGTCGTCTTCATCTTTAGCGATTTAGCATGACCATTGAGTTGCTATATTGTTATGTAGCCAACACATCTTTGTTTCTGATAGGTGCCTATTGATGTTTTCAAAAGAACCACTGATGAAGATGGTGCTAAAGGTTGTAGATGGTGAAAGAAATTGTGTTAACTCTTCTGTGAGGGAAATTAATGAAAGTGAGCATAAACTTAATTGTATGGGGAATAGTGTTGGATTAGCAATGGTACAGTTTTTTAGACATAGGCAGGTTATGATTCAATACTCTGTTTTTACTGCTTGTATTGTGTTATATTCTGCTCTGTCAATGATTTTGAGTAAGCGAGCTCGTCTGACCATCCAGTAGTAATGTGTGTGTGTGTGTGTCTTTTTATTATCATTATTATTATTATTATTATTATTATTATTTTGGGTTTTTTGTGTCATCTGGGATTCATTTTTTATTCACAGATTATGTGGAAAAGGTAGCTGAGGCATTTAATATTAACTTCCATTGAGAAAATCTAAGCAATTTTGGTAAACATATTCGGTGGAAGAATGAAGGGTGATGTAATTGCAAGCAGAATTGTCAATACTGCTAAACAGGAGAGCAGTGCATTAAATTATTTTGGATTTTATATAAACCAATTCTTAAAATTTGTACTTTCCGTCATTTACTCATCTTCTATGATAGTGCTTACAATTTTCACCTTTTTATTCCAATCGTTTTCAGTGAATGCTAACCTTGGAATAAGTGGAAGGATGGCCTATTTTCTCAACTAATGTGAAAATGGAAAGAACAACAGAAAATTGTTGGTGATGGCCAGCGTTGAATATTTCAATTGTCTCCAAGAGTTATAGCATTATTTTTGTTTGGTCTTGTATAGAAGATCACCCTAAAAATACCAGTGCGAGTTCAACTTGAAGGCAGTAATTTTGACCAGGGACTGTGACTTTTCTAAGCTTCTGTGACTTTTTGAGCCTGTATGCTCTTTTCTGAGCGTCTGTGCCTTTGTTTGAGCCTGCATGCTCCTTTTGCTTCTGAGCCTGCGTGTCCTCTTGCTAAGGCGTTTGTACTTGTGTTTTGTTTGTTTTTTGGGCCTTTTGGTTCGGCTAATCGTGTTACTTTGTAACTGTTTTCTTTTGGATATAAAACTTATTTGCCAAAAAAACAAATGTTGACCAGGGAAAGAGATACTTGAGGTAAATGTGGAATTTGATCTGATATGAAACCTCTTTTGAATGAGAAATTTGATCTGATATAAAACTTCATGAACTAAAGGTTCTGCAGGAAAATTGTTTGACACTAATGACAGCAGAAGATCTGGATGTTGCTGCTGAGAAAGCAGTTAAACCAACTGCCAAATGAGTAAATAGATGATGCAAGCCTGTTGTTTTCATACTTTTTCAGTATACTTACGATTATTGAGGAAGTCTTTGCCGATGATAAAGCAAGAAGGGGAAACACTCTTCTATTGCCTTCTAAAATTTTACTGTTTTGTGGTTAAGAGAATTGTGGTGTTTCTTTTATATTTTATACCACAACCATATTCTTCCGATTAATTTTGCCATTATCTTCTGGATCCACTGATTTCTCTTTTCTTTTTGGTACTTAACTTTAATTTATCTCAGAAATGGATGTTTAAAGCTGTGAGCAAAAACAGTTTTGCCAGGAAATGGAATAAAGAAGAGCAATTGAGAAAATCAGCACTCTCTTGCTGCAACTTCCCATCTGATGCGCTGAAAAATTAGAACAGCAGTCCTCCAACTGTTTCAATGGTGTCCAAAAGCCCCTCTTAACTCTTCCTCCTTTATCTGTTTGTATTTACTTCTCTTTATATTAGTATAGTTAGAGAACTAGGTATCTTATTGTATTAATAAAGTTTGCCGATTAATGAAAACCATTGTATTTTATTGGTAACAAGTGAATGAAAATAATATGACTATATTTACTTGCAACCAGTAGCGAATCCAGAAATTTCTGTTAGGGTGGGTCAAAATAAAAACTAATTGCACATTAATATTTTTGTCCATTAATATTTTTGTTAAGATGGGCCAAAATCTATAAATTGTATATATTAGTATTAAAAAAAAAAAAAAAATTGACAAAACTAGGCTGGATCCGCCCCTACATGCAACATTCGTTAACATCGGAATAAATGGAAGGATTAGATGGTAGCTGCCATCGGATCAACTATTCTTGCTTTGTATACGTTGTAATCAAAATATACAAGCTTCTTGTTCTCATTTTTCATAATTTTTAGAATTCTTACAAATTTTGATGAAGTGAATCAATTGGATCTTTACTGATCATCAAATATCCCGTCCCAATATAGGTGGTTCCTCAGAGGTATCTAAGCCTATGAGGCATTTTGTCATCCCTAACATTATTTGCTATATAAGAGCTCACTTGGTTTATATAAGATTTTCAGTAGAGAGGAAAATTGTAGAAAGAAGAATTTTATTCATCATCGTCAAAATGTTGTTGTATAGTACATTTAAGTAGAAGTGAACTCCAACTTACTCAACCAACTCAACTAATTCAGTTAACCACAGTTACATTTAAACTAGCCTACAATTTCTCTCAAATAATATCACAGTCTATATCAATATGCTTAGTATGTTCATGAAATATCGAATTCGAGGCAATGTGCAAAGCTGACTAGTTATCACAAAACAAGGGAATAGGAGACGATGAAGGATAACCAAGTTCTGTCAACAGTTGCACCAACCAAACTATTTCACAAATTGCAGAGGCCATGGCCCTATACTCGGCTTCTGAAGAAGATCTAGAAACTTTCACTTGTTTCTTAGATTTCAAGGAGATAAGAGAGGAACCCAAAAAAACACAAAAGCCAGTGATTGATCTTCGTGTAAGCAAACAAGAAGCCCAATCTGAATCATAGTAGGTAGCAGCTACAATGAACCATTTGATGGAAAAAATAACCCCAAACCAGGAGCAGATTTAACATATTTCACAATCTTTAAAGCTGCCTGCATATGTGATTCCTTAGGAGCATGCATAAACTGACTCAACAAGTTCACTGAATAGCTTAAATCAGGTCGAGTCACACATAAGTACAGAAGTTTACCAATTAACTGCTAATAAGCAGAAGCATATTTTAGCTAGGGATCTCCAATGACATGGAACTGCTTATCATAATCCAAAGAGGTGAACTTTATGTGCTAGTCAAGAGGAATAACAACAAGTCTAGCACTTGATAAACCAGTAGCAGAAATTAATTCTAAGGCATACTTACGCTGGCAAAAAGAAATACCTTTAACAAGCCTAGCCACCTCTAAACCAAGGAAATACCAGAGCATCCCAAGATCCTTAAGCTTAAAATTGGACTGAAGCAACCTTTTTATATCATGTATCATGTCAGAATTACTCCCAGTGATGACTATGTCATCAACATAAACTAGAACCACCACAATGTGATTGCTATGTTTTTTGATAAAGAGCAAATAATCTGATTTTGCTTGGTAAAATCCTCTCTGAAGCAAGGCTGTAGTTAGTTTAAAGTTCCAGACTCTAGAAACCTATTTAAGTCCATATAAAGACTTGTGAAGTCTGTAAACTAAATTCTATCTAGAAGGTTTATGGAAACCTTGAGGCAAAGACATATAAATTTCCTCTGATAAATCACCTTGTAATAATGCATTATCAACATCAAGGTGATACAAAGGTGAATCATGAATTGAAGCTAAAGAAAGAATGGTCCTAACAGTCACCATTTTAACAATAGGGGAAAATGTTTCCTCATAATCAATTCCAGCCTGTTATGTGTAAACTTTGGCCACCAATCGGGCTTTATACCTCTCCAAAGTACCATCAACATTAAACTTTAATTTGTATACCCATGTACACCCAATTGGACTTTTACCAAGGGGCAATGGAACCAATGACCAAGTATGATGGTCTTCTAAAGCTTTGATTTCCTTTGACATAGCTTCTACCCATTTAGGATCTTTAGAGGCTTGGGAAAAATTAACTGGTTTAGTTAAGGAGGAAAATTTGCTAAGTCGGGCTTGGTATGTGGGTGAAAGGTGATGTAATTTATGGATTTGAAATTGGATATTTTACTAAGTGAGTTTGTGATGAAGAGGGAAGTGTATGACAATGGTAGTCTATAGTCCATATATGAGGCTTGGTAATTCTTGTGAATTTCCTTAAAGGTACAGGAGAGGGTTGAGTTAAAGTTTCAGCTGCAAGGGTTGTATTTATGACAGGGGAATCTACTACTGGAGGTGTATTTGAGACAGGTGAGGAATTAAGAGCCACAACTGGATCTGATGTGTGAACTGGAAAATCATCTACATGTATGCAAGGTTGTGAAATATGTGTATTGGAAGAACCTATGTCTAAAAAAGAATCAGATGGAAAAACTGACAGATCTGTTTTGGACAAGCTGAAAGGAAAAATGTGCATATAAAAGGTCACATCTTGGGTGGTATGAACTGCATGAGTGTCTAAGTTGTATAGCAAATATCCCTTTTTATCTAAAGAGTATCCTACAAAAACACATGGAATGGACCTAGGGGTAAATTTATCTTTGGGAGTAAGGATTGTAGAGTAAGCTAAGCAACTAAAGACTCTAAAAAGTGTCAATGAAGGAGGTTTGCCAAATAATTTTTCAAAAGGAGAGAGAGACCTTTTAGTACAATGGTTGGGCACCTATTAATTAAATAGACTGTTTGAACACAGTAGCCCTAGAGTGTGTATAGCAGTTTGGATTGAAACTTCAAGGCTCTAACAACTTGTAAAATATGTCTATGTTTTTTCTCCACAACACCATTTCATTGTGGAGAATAAACACATGAACTTTGGTGCTGAATACCTAGCTTTGCTAACAAATCATGACAATTTCTATTAAAAAAACTATAAGCCATTATCAGAACGAATGCACTTAGGTGTTATATGAAACTGATTTTGTACCATGATTAGGAAGTTTTTAAGCAATTAAAAAAAACATATTTAAATTGCATTAGGAAAATCCATGTCACTCTAGTGCATTCATCCACAATTGTAAGAAAAAATCTTGCTTCCAAAAGTAGGTACCTTATAAGGGCCCCATACATCCATATGCAAAAGATCAAAAGCTGAATTTTAAATACTTTGACTTAAAGGAAAAGGTGTTCTAGTTTGTTTTGCCAAAGGACGGATTTGACAATGTGAAGAATTGTCAATTGGTAAATTATTAACCATTTGTTGTAGAATAGGATTTAGGACATGCTCCAATCTTTTATGCCAAACATTGAAATCAGAAATTGTCCTAGACTAGGAATGGAAACTTTGTTCATTCTTGCATTGCAAACATTGGGTGTAGAAAGCATTTTGGCCAGGGTATTGATGTCAAAGTTATGGAATGATGATTGTGTGAAAAGCATATGAAAATATAAGCCTTGAAAATTTTTGCCAACCCCCTTCAACCTACTACTCTAGAGGCCTTGGATTAAGAAAAAATCAGGGTAAAAGGTAATTATACAATTATTGGATGAAGTGTATTTAGAAACAGAAAACAGATTATATTTGAAGTCCGGCAAATGCAATACATGATCTAGACTAATCTTATCATTTATCCTAATAGATCCTATGTGCTTAATTCTGGTTTTGGTTCCATTTGGTAGGCCAACTTAAGTTTCTGGATGAGAGTGTGTCAATAGGTGCACTTAAGCTAGACAATCTACTAGTCATATGATTTATCACCCCTGAATCTACAATCCAACTTGTAGTGTCATTAAAACAGGATAAAAGTGATGTGGCTATGCCTGCCACATTAGCTGATGCTGAGATATTCTTATTTCCAAGAAGTTGAAGCAGTTGGGAGTATTGTTCTACCGAGAGAATCATGCCTAGTGAATTTGAACCTTTTGGTGATTCCATAGAAGCGCTAGAGGTTGTATCAAGCTGTGTATGGGCTTGATTAGCTGCTGCCCTATTCTTTGATCCATTCTTCCCTTTGTAATCAGCTGGATAACCATGAAGTTTATAACATGTATCCCTTTTGTGCCCTGGTAGATGACAAAACTCACTCTATATAAGGCTTTTTCCTTTATATTTGGGATTGTGATTTTGCCCTTTTTGTGTGTTTTGTGCATATAAAGTAGTAGTTACCTCTGAGCCAATATTATTTCCCGACAGTATTCTCTGACTTTCATCTTGGTTGACAATAGAGTATGCTTGTTTTAAAGAGGGTAGAGGTGACATCAATAGGATTTGGCTTCAAACCATATGATAAGTGTCATTTAATCCCATTAGAAATTGTAGTAATCTCTGTTGGTTTAAATGTTCAAGGTAAGCCTTAGCCGATATACTATCAGGTGGTGGTAAACTAATTAGTGAACAAAATTTGTCCCACAACGGGTAAGAAGGAAGAAACTAATATGGAACACTCTAAAAGAAGAGATAAAATAAAATAGTATTTGCTTTAGATCTAGAAAAATATGAGATTTGATTCATGACAAAAGAAGAAATATTAAGTAATTTGATAATTATCGTGAGTTTCAATTTACCATTGAAATTATGAATTCTTATTGACTTAAATTTCATCTAATTTTTAAAGCTTTGGAATTAAAGTAGGAGGGAGAAGAATAGAACTTTTTTGAATACTATAAAAAGATGGGGGCTAAAGAAGAAAATGGCGGGGGCCAAAAATCATTTCCCCAATAATTGGTTGATTTAGTTTTATTATTACAAACCAAAAAAATTTTTATTTACTTTTTAAGTTTACCCCATTAAAATGTTTTACCACATGCAAATGTCTTTATAAACCTCAAAACTTCATAAAGAACCCCCTTTTTTATATATATTTTTAATTAATTTTATACACCTTGTTTTAAATGTAATGCTCAAAGATGAGTCTATTCACATGTGTTATTACTTCCAACATTATAAGAATAATAATTGATAAATTTTGCTAAGGCAGGCTTGGTAAGTGGGTGAAAGGTGACTGTAATTTACAGAATTTGAAATTGGATATTTGACTAAGTGAGTTTGTGAGGAAGAGGGAAGTGTAGGACAGTGGTAGTTTGTAGTCCAGATTGGAGGTTTTGTAATTCTGGTGGATTTCCTTAAAGGTATGGAAGAGGGCTGAACTGAAGTATCAGCTATAGAATTTGTACTTGTGATAGGAGAATCTGTTGTTGAAGGTATATTTGAGTCAAGAGACACAATTGGATCTGATGTATGATCTGGAAAAACATCTACATATATGCAAGGTTGTGAAAGATGTGTATTAGAACAATCTATTTCTAGAAAAGAATCAGATGGAAAAACTGAAAAATCTGTTTTGGACAAGCTGAAAGGAAAAATATGTTCATAAAAGGTCACATCTCGGGTGGTATGAACTGTATGGGTGTCTAAGTTGTACAACAAATATCCCTTTTTATTTAAGGAGTATCCTACAAAAACACATGGAATGGACCTAGGGATAAATTTGTCTTTGGGAGTAAGGATTGTGGAATAAGCTAAGCAACCAAAGACTCTCAAATGTGTCAAGGAAGGAGGTTTGCCAAATAATTTTTCAAAAGGAGAGAGACCTTTGAGGACAGGGGTTGGACACCTATTAATTAGATAGACTGCTGTTTGAATACAGTAGCCCCAAAGTGTGTGTGGTAATTTTGAGTGAAACTTTAAGGCTCTAGCAACCTGTAAAATGTGTCTTTGTTTTCTTTCCACAATACCATTTTGTTGTGGAGAGTAAATACATGAACTTTGGTGCTGAATACCTAGGTTTGCTAACAAATCATGACAATTTCTATTAAAAAACTCTAAGCCATTATCAGAACGAATGCATTTAGGTGTTACATTAAACAGATTTTGAACCATGAGTAAGATATTTTTAAGCAACTGAAAAACATTAGATTTAAATTGCATTAAGAAAATCCATGTCACTCTAGTACAATCATCCACAATTGTAAAGAAAAATCTTGCATTTCCAAAAGTAGGTACTTTATAGGGACCCCATACATCCATATGCAAAAGATCAAAAACTGAATTTGAAATACTTTGGCTTAAAGGAAAAGGTGCTCTGGTTTGTTTTGCCAAGGGACAGATTGGACAATGTGTAGAATTATCAATTGACAAATTATTAACCATTTGTTTTAGAATAGGATTTGGGACATGCCCCAATCTTTTATGCCAAACATTGAAATCAGAAACTACCCTAGAACTAGGAATTGAAATCTTGTTTATTGCTGTATTGCAAACACTCGGTGTAGAAAGTATTTTGGCAATGGTTTTGATGTCAGAGTTGTGCATTGATGATTGTGTGAAGGGCACATGAAAATATAAGCCTTGAAAATGTTTACCAATCCCCTTCAACCTGCCACTCCAGAGGTCCTGGATTAAGCAAAAATCAGGGTAAAAGGTAATTTCACAATTATTAGCTGAAGTGTATTAAGAAACAAAGAACATATTATATTTGAAATCTGGCAAATGCAATACGTGATCCAGACTAATCTCATCATCTATCTTAACAGATCTATGTGCTTAATTTTGGTTTTGGTTCCATTTGGTAGGCCAACATAAGTTTCTGGATGAGAAGTTGTGTCAATAGGTGCATTTAAACTAGACAATCTATTAGTCATATGATCTGTCGCCCTTGAATCTATAATCCAATTTGTAGTATCATTAAAATAGGAGAAAAGTGATGTAGTTGTACCTGCCACATTGGCTGATGCTGAGATATTCTCCTTTCCAAGAAGTTGGAGTAGCTGGGAGTATTGTTCTGCCGGAAGTATTGTTCCTAGTGAATTTGAACCTTTTGGTGATTCTACAGGAGTATTAGAGGTTGTACCAAGCTGTGTATGTGCTTGATTAGCTACTGCCCTATTCTTTGATCCATTTTTCCCTTTGTAGTCAGCCGGGTAACCATGAATTTTATAACATGTATCCCTCTTGTGCCTTGGTAGATGACAAAACTCACACTCTATATAAGGCCTTTTCCCTTTATATTTGAGATTATGATTTTTCCCTTTCTGTGTGTTCTGCGCATACAAAGTAGTGGTTATATCTGAGACATTATTATTTCCTAATAGTATTCTCCGACTCTCATCTTGATTGACAACAGAATATGCTTGTTTTACAGAGGGTAGAGGTGACATCAATAGGATTTGGCTTCGAACCATAGAATAAGTGTCATTTAATCCCATTAGAAGTTGTAGTAATTTCTGTTGATTTAAATGTTCAAGATAAGCCTTTGCTGACAGACTATCAGGTGGTGGCAAACTAATCAGTGAGCTCAATTCATCCCACAACGCTTTTAATTTGTTGTAATAGATGGCTACAGACATAGTACCTTGTGTGAGGTTAACAATCTCTCGATGAATCCCATAGATTCTTGTACCACTCACTTTATGATATTGCTCTTGTAGATCCTGCCAAACTTGATTCGCGTTAATGGAATATACTATGCCATTGAACATCTCTTTTGACACTATATTAAAGATCCACGCCAAGACCAGTGAATTACATCGTTTCCACTGTGCTCCTAAGCTCGAGTTAGATGGTTTCTTGCATGTACCATCAACAAAACCAAGTTTATTTTTAGCCCTAAGTGAGACTATCATGGCTCTGCTCCAAATCCTGTAATTTTCAGTACCTGTAAGTTGTTCAGTTACCAAGGCAGCTCCTGGAGTATCAGACGAGTGAATATACAGGGGCAAGTTCGTGTCTGAGAGATTCATCGTTGATTCACTACTGGGATTCATCACTATGAGCTGATTATGTAGAATATTGAACCAAATCTGAGAAATTGATGAGTTAATCAAGATCGGTTGTTGACGAAAAGAAAAAAAAATTCTTAGGATATCAAACCCTAAGCTCTAATACCATAAAAGATTTTGATAGAGAGGAAAATTGTAGAATGAAGAAGAAGAAGAATTCCTCAATTGTATCGATTCACAAAGTTCTATACAGTGTCTTTTAGTAAAGTAAAGTCTAACTAATTCAACTAACCAACTCCACTAACTAACTCTACCAGTTCAGTTAACTATAGTTACATTTAATTATAACAATATTTAACTAAAACAATATTAATGAAAGCTGTAAGCTGAGCTGAAGTAGAGCTGAAGTGTAACTGACGTGTATTCTTCAATAAAACCCAATCAATTAATTAAAACTTGGTTTAGTTTATGCTTAATGTTTAAAAGCAAATTAATTTATTCATAATTTTGCCTTGGTTTTCTTATATAGTTTCTGTTATGCCCGGGAAAATAAAGGGGTGATGTGGGAAAGTCACGTTAAGGGTGACCTGCTCCCGTCAGGGCAACACGCACACGTCAGACCTGCAAAATAATATGGAGCTCACACGCGTCCATTTCTCTGCAGCAAGTCGTGCGAAGTCAGCTTGGAAAAAGGAAAACGGGACATAAAGCCGGATTATATCCTGACAATCACACCAACCCATGGATTTAATGATGATTACACGCTTCAGTTTCATATAAAATGAAGAAGGCCCCTCCATTAAGGGGATTCGGCCATTTCTCATACTGAAAAACTCTCTCTCTCTCCTGGAAACATACTTACTTTNAAAGAAACTTTGTGAGAACTTATTATATATATAAGATGTGATTAGTGGTAGTGCTTCATTTTAATAACTTATCATAAAATTAAAGTAGGATGGGCCAATAATGCCCAATTTCATCAAACTTCTCACCACATCCATGCACTTGAGGGATATTATTTTGCGCTTGGCAAAATCTTTTACGTTAGTTATGATTTTGATTTTGGAAAGAGTAATATTATGCATACAAAATATTGTGATCTAAATTTTGTATCGTAACATATATGACTGTTAATTATAAAATAATGAGATAAGTAAACTAACTTTCCCCAAAACCACTCCATTCCCCCAATTTGTCAAATATAAACTACATAATAATACAACTAACCGATAATGGTGCTATAATTGGTTCACTGTTGTCTGCTGATATGTTTAGAACATTTTCTTTTCATTTTAAGGATTTTTTTTTTTTTTTTTTTGGTAATTTTCAAGCTTGACTAATAACATTGTATATACACATTTTACTTTTATATCTTATATTTTATAGTATTTGTGTATATATATAAATAGTTATTTTTTGGGGTTTATTCATATTAATGAAAGTAAGTGTGTCGATTTTATGAATAGTAAAGAGTTAGTGTTTGGCTTGCTTTATTGCTTTATGGGTAATAATACTACACTCACAATCATTATCACAAACTTTCTCACACAATCCCAACATAATAACTCGGATTGTTAAGCTCGCAAATAGGTGTTGTCTGCTCGTTATGGACCCCACATGCCCATTTGCAAGCCGACAAGCTATCATATTGGGGTTGTGAGAAAAAGTTTGTGAAAAGAGATTATAAATATAGTATTTTTGTCGCTTTATTCATATTTGAAGCTCTCTTAAAAATTTCAAAGACATTATACTCTTTAACTATACAGTACTGATTCCCTAAACTATTAAAGAAAAAAATGAAGTATCCAAGAGCCAAACATAAATTTATATATTCCTAGACACAGGAAACAAATCCATCAAAGACTAACCAAATTGGCTGCAGTTAAGAAAGAAACCATAATCACAACTGTTCTCTGATTACTACACATTAAGTTCAATTCCCACTCACAAACCCTAAAAACTCAAACATTTTACATGCATGGCTCTCAAATTTTGATTTGATTTCTTTTAATTGGGTCCAATGTCAAGATTGGCAAGTTGCTGTATGTTCATGGGGTAAACCATGCTCTGGTCTCCAGAGAAAGCCTGCCTTCCAAATAAAATGTTCACAGCTTCAGTTGGATGAAATGCATCCCAAAACACATATTGATCTCTGTTTGGACATGGTGTTTGGAATGGAAGGCATGTAATTTGCCCTCTATTTCGCCCGATTCCGCAGCATCCTCGATCTATCACACTGAATCCTGTACACATAAAACAATTCAAACCAGTGAAGGAGGCAGGGTTATTTTCAGTGGGGGCATACTGAAAAGAAAAAATTGGAACATTAAAAATTACATATTAAAAACGCTAAAAATTTTAAACATGAGGCATAGTTAAAACACTACTATTTTATATAGATGAAGATAATACAGTAAAAAGAGAAAAAAAATTGGGGTTGTAATATGTGGTTGCTGTTTGTTCATGTACTTTAAGTACCATTTGAAGAGGAAGGACAAAAAGAGCAAGCTTAAAATATGTTTGAGGTTTGAGAAATAATTAAGAATACAAAATAGGAGGGGACTTAAAGAATTTTTCAGGGTCGCTCAGCCCGCAGTGGCTCCATCCATGATTGAAACGATGAAATATCGAGTATAGTAGTAATCCATGCATACCGTAGGATCTGTAGTTGAGTAAGAGATCTTCGAACATTCTAGCGACATCGATGAAAACGAATCTTGAACCGGGAAGATTGGTATTAAGATTGTTAATCATAGTCTTCACATTCGTATTGAAAGGTAAAACAAGCTGGTTAACTTCTTCTGAGCACCCACCAAGCTGGTTTTGAGCCAAAATGCTTGGAATGCATCCCATTCTTCCCAATCCAGCTAGTACAAATTTCCGAGCTCCCAGATTGTATAGGCTCTGTATTATGAGGTTTTATGTTACAAGAAATAAAGTTTAATTTCATGGTGTGTAAAAAAGATTAAGAAATCTTACAGTGAGTTGCTGTGTGTATTGTTCAACCAAAAGATCAGCATATTGCTGGGCATTATATTCATTCTTGGTATTGTAATTTGGCATGAGATAGTTGTTCAAGTAGTCATTGCTGCCCATCCCTACAAAGAATATCGATCTTGCGATTGCCTTTGATAAATCAGCTGCCCCAAGATTACCAGTAATTTGATCGAGCGTATTTTGAAAGTTCCTTATTTGTTGACCAAACGGTATACGGCCCACCTGATCAAACATTATACAAACTCTTTTATATAAACTTCTACTTTCACTTCTTTATTATCTATAATAATTTGTATGAATATTTCATAAATGAAATTTTCTTACAAAGTTTCTTCCAGTGATGTCAAGGATGCCGGCCGCGGCAGAAGCATAGTTGACTCCATGAAGCACTTGATCCCCGGAAGCTTCAGAGTAAGCAGGGATCAAGGGAAGCCCCAACTCCTCAGCTAAATAAATTAATAAAACAATTAATACAAATGAGGTTAATATTATAAAACCAAATTAATAAGTGGGAAAATATATAATTAAATTGGTAATTAGTAAGAGGTCATGAAGACATTTAATTTTGCCATTAAGAGCATGCCTATTAGAGCTCATGTGATTTAATAAGAATGTGAAAATAGATAAGATTTCATGACAAAACAAAGTTAGGTGAAAAAGTGTTAGATCTCATAAATGTAATAAAGACATCGTACTTTGTTTATATATTGATTAATTATTTTTTTCAGTATTTACCCTTCGAACATTGGACTATTCATTTGATTATAATGTTTATAAAGTTGTTTAAAGAGAATTTGTTTTATTTGGTAACACTAAATTAGGGGAAAGGGAAATAGATAACTGATAAATATCAATAAATGTTGGTAGTTTTCTCCAATAAATATAAAAATAAATACTTCAAGGCAAACTCACTTTGCTCTAAACTCACTTCATACTCCATGATTTATGAAAGAAATTAAGCAAGAAACAAAATATTTTTACCAGAAAAATTAAAGAATACACCAATCACAAATGCATTAATTTTTAACCAAGAAAATATACATTTTTCTCTAAAATAATTGCATTGTATGCATGCATACATACTCTTGTAGCTTGACTTAAATTGTTACGAGTTTGATTTAGTGAATATATATATCATAGATGATATATAAAATTAAAAAAAATAAATATTAGTGCAAATACAGCGTATAGAGAGTTACCAATGGCATCAACCATGGTGTAGCCATTAGAGAAACGTCCAGTCGGACCGCCATTGAAATCGATACCATAAGGGAAGTAATTAGCCTTCGCAAAAGAAGGAAGATTATTGTTATTGCCATTGTCAATGAGGGAGTCTCCAAAAATGAACATAGCGGGCACCGTTTCCGATCTCCTCCTCCCTCCTTCTGCTCCAACAATCGGATTCTCGTCTTGCCCTAGAGCCATTCTCCCCATCAACACCACCACGAAAATCACCAATAACAAAGAATAAGAATAAGAAAATTGCTTGATAAAAGCCATTGGAGAGGCTAAAACTCACAAGAAAAACAAAGAAGGGAGAGTAACTTGAAGCGTTTCAGAGATAAATTAATTTGTGAATGAAAATGGAGGATTAATAGAAGAGAGTGAAGGTAGAAGAGAGTGAAGGTGGAGTAGTTGAGTAATAGTAAATGCATTCATCTGTTTCCTCCATTGTAGTAATTACACACTGCCGCATGTGTCTGCAGTGCAGGCAAAGTGTGTAAAAATTTAACCAGACAAAAAAAAATATACACTCCGAGGTTTTGGTTAAGTTTTGTAGATCTTACAATTTAAAATATTGGCATTTATCCCCTTGAATTTAACACCGTTTATATAATCAATTAATTAGGAGAATTTCATTGTTCAAAAACAAAAAATACCTCTCATTTTCATGCTGTTCCAAAGTTTTAAAAGCTCAGGTTCTGCCCTCTAAGGCTCTAACTAGGGAAGGTAATAAGAGCAGGTCAAGACGGGAATCATCATCCCCATCCCCATCCGGCCGTCCCCATCCTCAAAATTGGCCAATGCGGGGACTGTTTGGGGATCCAACGAGGGGCCAATCTCCAAATATTAAAAAAAAAAATTTCTTTTATTTTAATATTATATAGTGACAATTTTGAAAGTGCATTTTATTCAATATTAAGTACTAATAATTTTTTTTTATTGAATTATTCATCTTTAGAATATAATTGATGGTGTTTTTTTTATAAAAAGCGTCAATGAGAATTAATTCTTTACTAGATGTCTTATATTAGAATTATTAAATCAGTAATCATATTGAATGATTGTCATTAAATATAATGTTAGAACAAAGATTGCTAGTGTACCGAAACTCTTACTTCATTTTTACCTTAAATTGATATGTGGGAATATGACTCCTTAAATATTTTTAATACAAAATTAAAATAACTTATCTTATAATCAATTTTTTCAAGAATCATGGATGGGGCGAAAAAGGGATAGACCCGAAAGTAATTTAGGGATGGTTTTCCATTGCAATCCTTGCCCCATCCTTGAAAATTTTGTTAAAATACCCTCCTCAAAGGAGGCGGTCCATGTGTGGAAAATTGACATCCCTACACATGATAGTTTATTTCTCCTTCACGACTATTACAATTAGGATGTATATCCCAGTATTTTAAACTGCACCTAAACCCTAAGGGGGCAAATGTAATTAACTCAAAGATTTACAGCCATTCAATTCGTTTCTCTTATCTTTTGTTATACAACTACAATTGTTTTATTCCATTTGGTTTTTGAGCAAAAATTTGGTAGGAATCATGCAATTAATTGCTTGCACTGTTTTTTCAGTAGAAGAAACTTGAATGAAGTGATAGATCATAGCACTATTTCTTTGACAGATTCAGGAGCATCTCACCACCTTTAATGTTCTCATCTATATCACAAGTTCGTTGGGGGAAAAAATTAATTTTGATATATTGAAAATTGCTTTCACCCATCTAGTGCATTTAATTCGGTCATTTTTTTTTACTTCTTTTAGACTCTCAATGCGTGTAAGTTAAGAATTTTATTTTCTTACATTATTATCTGGTAATTAAATATATGGCTTCGTTTGGCATATTATTTCTACCCATATTTTCAATCTTATTCCCAAAATATTATTTGTTTTGTTATTTGAGAAATATTAGTATATTTTTTTAATTAATTTTAGACACCATAAGTTTATTAATTTCATTAAATACCCCCAGAAAAAAAAAATTTAAAAATTAACAAAAACACCCCCACCCACCCATACTTGCCAGATTCCGGCAACCACCGTCGGTGGTAGCCGGAATCTGTCACAACGGCCTACAAACGATCGAAACTTGCCAGTAATTTACTGATCTGGTCGTCAACGACGACCAAAGAAATGGTTGTCGTTGACGGTCAACAACGGTCAAATCTAGACTTTTCCAGTGGTTGACATAGATCTGGCATGAAAATGCCATATCGACGCCCTACCCACCAGAGCCGACCGTTCTGCGTCGTAATGCTATTTTTCGGCCAGATTCCAGTGGCGGTGGCCGGAATCTGGTACTGTGGGTGGGTGGGGGTGTTTTTGTCATTTTATAAAATTTTTATATATTGGGGTGTTTAGTTAAATTAGCAAACCTATGAGGTTTTTTTATAAATTTTTAAATTTTACCTCATAATACTCCATTATTCAACTACCCAATATTATTCCCAAAATCTTATTCAATATAATAAAACAAATAGACCCTATATGTTTCAAAGGGGGAAGCCATGAATTTTTTTTTTAATGAAAAAGGGAAAGAGAGGTAATATATTAAAATTATTTACTAGGATTAGCGATCATTTTAAAGTAATTAACATATAAGTTTATAATATTAGTCTTTAATAATTTTTAGAGTAATACTACCCTTACCCACTTTCTCTTACTCACTTTTATAAATATACAGTATAGTACGGGTACTATAGACATAGTACAGGTACCATATGTCATTTAACAAAAGTGAGTAAGAGAAAGTGAATAAGGGAGTGAGTAAGGATAGCATTTTTCTAATTTTTATAGTTTAATATTTTTATTTTCAGGAAGATGTTGCCAGTAAATAAATTCTTGCTTTCTCTATTGGCATGCAAATTTGATGAAACTAATTAAAATATTGGAATAAATGCTTTCTTTAAATTTAATATTTTTTGTTGATAATTTCAATGTTTGGAACTACATCTTGTAACCAAACATTTGTGTCTCTTATATATATATATATTTTAACTCCCACCAAGTTTTATATGTAGTTGCTAGATTTTTCGTTGGTGAAATTTACTAGGGAATTAATTTTTTTATTTAAAAAATATTAATCTCGAACATTGTGCTTGCTTGGACTTCGATCAATTAATTTATTTGGATTCCATTCGTAATTATTATTTCATTCATAGTACATGGTGTCCAACGTCCAATCTTGTGTGTAAATTAATTTTGTTATCCTTTTCTTTAAAGCAAAATCTATAGGAATTAATTTTACTGTTGAATATTAAAGAAAACATTGCAAAATGATAAAAATTTTGCTTTATTACATCACTCCTCAAAATAATGTTATATTATGTACCTATGATACGAAATTATGATATTTACTTCATAATTTTAGTATTATTTTTACATAAATTATGAGGAATAATATATTTTCTTATCTTTGTTAGAGAAACACGTATAAATTGAAATTTGTAACACATATTACAAAGTATATATCATTTCAATATTGAAAATCCCACTTTAAAAATGTTTATTTAACAATACTAACTGCTGTCAACTTCATAGGACTATAACAACAATAACAATTAGGGGCGTGTTCTTTTATGAAATTTGTGTTTATATATATATTTTTTAAATATTGAAAATGAGAGAAAAATGTGAAAAATAAAAATATGTTCGGTCTGTTTGCTTGAAAACACAAAGAGAAAAAAATATTGAATTTATCACCTACCAAACTGATAAAATCACTTCAAAATGACACTTATTTTGTTCGTCTCAATTCTCAAAGACTTTGTTTCAAATATGTTGATTGTTAATTCTCATTTGTAATTTGTGTTTAAAATGTTGTTTTAAATGAAAGAAACAAAAGTATAAGTAGAAAAGATAATAAATAATATTTGATTTAAAAGTTATTTTTTTTATATAAAATAGAGGGCGCTACAGTTCCTCCCACCTTTTTTCTCATTCTCCCGGCTACAATCACTTGAAAATGTTAAAGGATCAGTATTTTTATTTTTTTTATTCTGAATTTTGAATTTTGAATTTTGAATTTTTCAGTAGATCAAAATGAGAAGAGTAAGTTAAAATTCATATACGAAAGAACGCTAGACAATTGGTAGCTGATATTTGGCATCTGTTTGTAAAAAAATCATACTTAACACGCGTATGTAATAAATTAAGATTAAATATATATAGGTAATAAAATTGTTAAAGTTGACGAAGAGGTCATACACACAAACCAAGATAGATTGGAGTAGTTGGTGGCTAAGTAAATTAATTAACAAAGTCAACACGCACAGAGTTAATGAACTCATAGATTAACACATACATATCATCTCATAATTAAGGTAGTCAATTTTACGTGTTTAGGAGAAAAAAGTAATGTTAAGTCACGGTCCAATCCCACAATCTTTTTTCATACTCTCTGATATGATAATTTATTATTGATCAATTCATAAATATGTCTCATTTATTTACTATAATCTCACATATACAAACTGTCACGTCGAGAGTTGTGAAATTAGATTATAAACATAATATTATTATTGAAGAGAAATATATTTTTATCCCGATAAAAATAACTCAATCGGAAGGTCGTAATATACAAATCTAACTTTCAGCTTTTATAATCAATTTTTTTGGTTTTAATCTTATGGAAACAATTAATTTACGTTAAAATTGATGCTTCAATTTGTCAAGAATTTGAAATGGCCGAAAGTCAAATATTAATAATAAAAGTAAGAGAGAAAATTAAGGAGATAAAGAAAGTGACCGAAAGAGCGAGAAAAGAAGAAAGTGAGTGAAATGTTGGCTTATATAAGAGCGTAAATTTAGAATTGTGATAGTTTATGGGTGTGAGCTATGATTAAATTTTATTTAACCTCCTCCATTTTTAGTTAATCTAATTAATATCACTAAATTTGACCCTTAAAATTCAGAAATAACAAAACTCTCTGTCATTAAAACCTTATTGGGATTTTGTTATTTAATGAAATCTTAAGGGGAATTATTTTATCAATTCTTAACATAGAACATTGATTTATATATCTTTCAATTGTCTATGTTAACACTGAAAGCTTAATAACTCACTAATAATAGAGATATTTTTTGCTATTTAATAAAAGATCATAAGTTAATTGCCACTAATTCTTTGTGGAAAGGAATTACCTATATAATAAATTAATCAGAATTAACAGAAAAATAATGGATTAATCATAGTATTAAATATAAGATTAATTAGTAGAGATGGTAATTCAGAATAAAAAAGTTTTAAGATAAGAAACAGTAAATTAATTGGTAATACTAAGAATACAAATTTGTTACATGATGATGA